TGTGTGTGCAGAATGTGTCAGACGTGAACTTCACGCTGGCAGAAGTGAAGCTGACAGAGAAGCAGCATGCGTCACTGGAGCTGCAGTCGCTGACCACTAAAGCAAAACAGGTGAACCAGACAAATGTCACTAAGAAGAGAATACGTCAGTAAATAGTTTTATAATCATCTTTAAAAAGTGTCTTTGTTTTGTAAAATATTTGATGGTAGTTATTTTGATATTTGAAAGTCCCTAATCATGGTCATGAGTGCTGAGTAATGACAGAAAGAAGGATCATGTTTATCAGCAGTCAGAATGTTTCCTTGTTTCCTGAGTGGGTCTGAGCAATAGAGGAAGTGTGAGGAGCTCAGATATCTGCAGGGAAGTGAACTTCCAGAACACAGGATTAATGTGACGTTATCAAATACAGTGTAATGACATCAAAATGAAACTGTCAACCATGTGAGGACAGTTATACACTGGGAACATATTTGACAGTTTTACAGAGGATCTCTTGCTAGAAAATAGAAACTACATGAACTATTGTCTCATGTTGTCATCTGGTGTGTTTCTGTGTGCAGCCTTTGTGCAGTAAGCACAGTGTGTTCTGTTTGTGGGAGGTGAGGTGGAAGGATGACCTGCCTTCCTGTCTCCAGTGTGTTTTCTCTGCCAACTTCTCTCCAACCAACCAGGACGTCTCCTCCCTCAAACCTTTCCACTACCAGTTTCAACTCGAGAGAGTCACTGTAAGTGTTTTGCCCTAAATGCTCTGATTATGTTGACGTGGACAGAGAAACCAAACATGTCTGTTTTCAGTTTATTGCCACAACCAGAGACTCTGCCACTGTAAATAACCTCTGTTATATATTGTCAGACATTGTACAGTGTGAGAGCTGAGATCCTGCCCCCTGCTGGTGAACAGTACTGTCACTCTGGCCTCCTCTGTGGACTGGAGGTGTGTATAACACGACTGACTGAACCTGAAGAAGGGGAGATTGCAGAGGAGAGCAACACTGACGGACTCAGAACCACCAAACTCATGTATGAAGGTGAGTCTGGAGAAGAATGCATTATCTGAGCCTGTTCATGCAGCAGCAGGGACAGAAGTTCAGGTTTTGAGTTGTAGAACATTTGTGATCATATGATTAATCACAGGGATTGTATGCTCTTGGTCCAGAGAGACTGGAACAGACAAAACCTCAGCTCTTTGTGACTCCATCTTGTGTGTGTGTGTGTGTTCACAGTGGCTGACAGCAGCAGTAACTGGGCGGTGTGTGGGAAGAGTTCCGGGATGGTGTCGATGCCCATGACGGCCAATGCCACCCACAAGGTGCAGATCGAGGTGATGCCTCTGTTCGCAGGACATCTGCCCTTCCCCAAAATCAAAGTGCTGAAGTACCTGCCTCACACTGCAGCTGTGGCCATTCAGCCAGACCCTGGTAAGACCCTCTGAGTGTTCACCCACAGATCGTTAAAGAGGTTTAGAACTCAAAGAAGAAAGGGAAGCTTGGACTCCCTGGAAAAAAACAGTAGATGGGAGTTTCAGATTCGCAGGGAAAATCACTTTAAGACATTCAAGCAGCAGGAACAGTGTCTGACAGCTGATGATCCACTAGCAGCAGGTGGCTTCACAGATGTGAGAGTGTTACTTATCAAGGAGGAGTTGTACGAAGACAGAATCACAAGTTGTTAACAAACTGAATATGATGATCAAACTTTTAAAGTTTAAATGAAGCTGAAAAATGCAACACTGAGGATTGTGTTTGTGTGAAGACATTTCACATTCACCTGCAATAGTTGTATATAGTTTGACAAAGGAATTTAATATATATCACAGTTTATTTATCATAAATAACTTAATAAAAGACAAATACAACCAAATATAGAACTTTAATCAAGAAAATAATCTTCTCTTCATTCTGTAAAATACAACATTTCCTTCAGTAAATCTTCCGGACTTGTGTCGATCTGTTTTCTCATCCTGTGGAAGCTGATTGGTTTGTTTGTTGCCCTCCTCAGACAGCTGCGTGGAGAACGACAGTCTGTCCCTGCTGGACAAGACGCTGGACGACCAGGCCGACACAGCGAGCATCCGGAGCCGGGGCAGCGTCCATTCTGTGGGCAGCGCCGACCAGCAGCAGAAAGGCGTGGCCATGCCGCGGCTGGAGCCCTTCGGCCCCGGACAGGCGTTCAACCACAGCCACGCACAGCAGGTCCTGGTGCTGCCCTCCACCGACGACCACATCATGGAGGTCAACGCCACATGACCCTGGTGGCGAGAACACTCCCCGTCCTCCTCTTACAGGACTGAACCGAGGCCCTGGATGGACTCCGCTGAGCTTTTGCTCTGGGGCAGATCGGGTCCATGAGTCCCTGTCGAAGACCTCTGCAGGTTGCCGGTACGGACTCCCGCCCTCCCTCAAGCATGAAACATTCACATCACTGGAGACATAACGGACAAGACAGCGAAGAGCCAACGACATCTGCTGATAACTTAAAAAGAAGACTTTTCTTTGCCATACTTTGTACATACGTCATTGGATGGATTTATTGTTATAAAGATATAAATATATATATGGACTGATCGATCAGATCGGCGCCTGCTGTGTTCTTTCGAACTGAAGAATAACACTCCTGATTGTCCCATGATGCACCAAAGCCCTGGATGTGTGTACGCCTCGATCAGCTGTTCAAGTGCTGTAACTTTGACTGAGTGTTTCCAGCTGCACGTGTCGTCACTGAGCCTCTCAGCTTGTCACCACTTTCAGATTTGAGAAGTCACTCGAAGGTTCAGTGTGTAAGATTAAGGTGAAAGGGATTTTTAAATTGAATATAAAATAATCCTAGTGATGTTTTCACTGGTGTGTGATCATCTCAGTCGTATGACTAGTTTTCTCTACCATAGACTGGACCCTTTATATTAAAAACTTTATATTTACATGGAGGGGGGGGGGGTCCTCTCTGTGGAGGCAGCCATGTTTTTACTGTCCAAACTGGACAAACTCAAACCTTTTGAGTTTTCATGACAACTGCAGTTCACCACAGGTTCTCTATCGTGTTGAGGAGGGGAGGGTGAGATGAGTATCCAGCTGCAACATGACACTTCACCACTAGAGGTCACTAAATTCTACACACTGCACCTTTAAGTAAGCTGCTCGTTTTCATTTCAGAACTGAGGAGACGACACCTCCACAGTCCTCACAGGAAACACTGTGAGGCCTGTGTACTTATACACACAGGGAAATTTGAAGTAGTTTCTCTACATCAGCACAGATATAAAATCTCAAATATAAACCCAGTTATGACCTGAGAGGCTCGGGCTGAATCTAACAGTGTGTTGTGTGTGTGTGTGTGTGTGTAGATGTTCAGCTGTAGTTTAGTGTATGTGTGGAGGTCTGTGTGTGTGTGTGTGTGTCTGTACGAGTGTGTGTGTTAGTGAGATCAGATGAGACTTGTATAAGAATCATTGTGCACATTATTGTCTATCAATTGTCTTAACTATCAATTGGATTGTTTATATACTGTGTGTGTATATTTATTCAGTGTGAATGGTGTTTGTGTGTTTGTTTGTGGGTGGGTGTGTGTGTGTGTGTCTGTCTGAGCTATGCACACATGCCGTCGAATGAATGAGTGAAATAAGTTTTTTTTTTCTTTTTTTTTAGATTTAATCATTTATTGAAAGGATGAGTGTCAGCTTCTTCTGCCCCCCCCCCTCCTACACACACACAGACACACACACACAGACACACACACAGTGTAACTACAGCGTCCTGCTCTCGGTTTGACCACTGTACATACTGACCTGTAAATAATGATTCAAATCAAAATCATCTTTGATTGCCAACTATATTAAAAAAAATCTTGGAACTGACAGAATCTTTGGCGTTTGTGACTTTGATGTATTTGTGCAGATTGTTTTCAAAAGCTGGGACGATGATAACGTGGAGGAGGTCCGACCCACAGTTTCCAGTTTGTCCTGGACGGAGAAATTCAGTTTCACGTCACTGCACCTTCACATTCACGCCCACAAACCACGTCCCACGAAACCCACAACAGAGCGACACCCAGCGTGCAAACTGTACACGTCATTAAACCGCAACAAGATCAAACAAGGACGTCTCGTAAACGTTAAAACGCTGAGGGACGTTAAAGAGGCCGAGCCGGGTGAGGGACGGAGCTGCTGGGGGGAGTCATCCATCCCCACTGTGATCTCAAGCGTTTCCTCTTTATGTTGAAGTTTATGGGAAATGATACTTTAATGTAAATGACTCAGGAAACATAAAATATGAAACACAGTAGAAGTACCTCCATTAGACACTAGGTGGTGTCATAACGTCACTGCAGGACCCAGAGGCACCAGAATTATACTTCAGGCAGTATTTTGAAGTTCAGACAGTATAATAGTACTTCAGACAGTATTTTGTACTTCACACAGTATAATTGTACTTCAGACAGTATTTTGTAGCTTAGATAGTATTTTTGTAGTTCAGACACTTCAGACAGTATTTTGTACTTCAGACAATATAATAGTACTTCAGACAGTATAGTAGTACTTCAGACAGTATAATAGTACTTCAGACAGAATAATAGTACTTCAGACAGAATAACAGTACTTCAGACAGTATACTAGTACTTCAGACAGAATAATAGTACTTCAGACAGAATAACAGTACTTCAGACAGTATACTAGTACTTCAAACAGTATAACAGTACTTCAGACAGTATACTAGTACTTCAGACAGTATAATTGTACTTCAGACAGTATAATTGCACTTCAGACAGTATACTAGTACTTCACACAGTATAACAGTACTTCATACAGTATACTAGTACTTCAGACAGTATAACAGTACTTCATACAGTATACTAGTACTTCAGACAGTATAACAGTACTTCATACAGTATACTAGTACTTCAGACAGTATAACAGTACTTCAGACAGTATACTAGTACTTCAGTTGTAGTTCTGAGGAGCCTCATCTGACCTGATATCAATCTCCACATGTCCCCGCCCCCCTCACCTTGTCTCCGCCCGGCTGCCTCCCTCTCACCTCCTCTCACCTCCTCATTATCTGAACTATGCAGCCGCTCTCCGGGAGGTGTCCCGCGTGGAAGCAGACTCTGTGCGTGTCTGTGGAGCAGGCGAGGAACCCGCATCAGAGGAACCCGCATCAGAGGAGCCATGAGGCCGGAGCTGACGCTGCTGTTGACGGCGTGTTTGCTGGATGCGTGTGATCTCTCACACGTGGAGGAGATGAGGAGCCAGGAGCGGATCTTCCTCAGCTCCCTCGGGCTCTCCGGGCCTCCCCGGGCCGCAGGGACCCACCTGCAGCCCCCGCAGGCCCGGGGCCACGTCCCCTCCGCGCTGTGGAGGATGTTCCGGAGGTCCGAGAACCTCCGCACCCAGGAGAGCGAGCCCTGCACGGTGTCCGAGTACGGAGTCCGCGGCAACATCATCCGATATGTGCAGGACCAAGGTACCTCTGAAGTGAAGTAACTGCTTTAAAGTATTACTACTCATCATTGTTCAGGGTCTGGAAAACATGGTCCACTACTGAGTTTATCAATTCTGATTTGAAAACGACTGTTGATGTGTAAGTGGCCTTGTTGTGTGAAGAAACCTTTCAGGCTTGGAGACCGACCATCACCTCTGATGAGTTCTCAGCTAACGAGTTAGAGAACATTGTTAATGTTAAAGCAGAGCAAACAATCAAAAGTCACACAAAACCTTCATTTGATGGAAATTCGTTTTTTAAAGTGACTGAAGAAATGCAGTGTAACTGATCTGTGAACTAATCCAACAATAACTCAGTCAAACTGGACGAACTCGTCATCATTCAAGTAAAAACCTGAATAAAGTCCTGAAGCAAAGTGAAGCTCTCGCAGAGACTGATCCCTCTGATGTGTTGCAGGCCGGCTGGTGTCGGGGAGGAGCAGCAGCTGTGAGGCCTGTGTGGAGAAGCAGCTCTTCTTCAACATGTCTGTGCTGCAGCCTGTGGAGCTGCTGTCTCTGGCTCAGCTGGAGATCAACTTCCACTGGAAACCCTTCAGATCTGTGGAGCTCCTGCAGGCCCCCCGGGCCCTCGGCGTGTCGCTCTACAAAGTCACGCGAGCCACGTTGAGAGGAGCCGACCCGCAGGCCAACCGCAGACTCCTGCTGTCCCAGTCCGTCCAGCTGCAGCCTGAACCAGCCTCCATCACCATGGACCTCACCTCGCTGGCGGAGAACTGGCGCAAACCGGGACGCAACTACGGTTTGGTGTTGGAGCTGCTTCCTCTCAGTGCAGAGACGCAGGATCTTCTTCCGTTTCACCCGGGCAACTCGCTCCCACTGGAACCAGCCCTGGCCCTGCCGCTGATCCAGGCCTCGCTGGTCGCCGTGTCCCTCAACCCCCACCAGTGTCGCTCCAGGCAGAGGAGAAGCGCCGTCCACCTCCCGGTGACGCCCAGCAACGTGTGCAAGGCCCGACGCCTCTACATCGACTTCAAGGATGTGGGCTGGCAGGACTGGATCATCGCTCCGCAGGGCTACATGGCCAACTACTGCCACGGCGAGTGTCCGTTCCCGCTCAGCGAGAGCCTGAACGGCACCAACCACGCCATCCTGCAGACGCTGGTGCACTCCCTGGACCCGCACGGCACGCCTCAGCCCTGCTGCGTCCCCATCCACCTCTCGCCCATCTCCATGCTCTACTACGACAACAACGACAACGTGGTGCTGCGGCATTACCAGGACATGGTGGTGGACGAGTGTGGGTGTCGGTGAATGTGACCGACTGGCTCCCGACAATGAAACGTTGTTTTTAATGTTGAATTCTTTCTGTTAAATGAGTTTGATTTGTCGGATCGTGTTTTCAATGTTGGTTTTTAAAAGAGTGTAAAAGATTTAACATGTTTGTTCTCAGGGAAGGTTCGAAAAAATATTGCGTTAATAAAAGTACAATTCACAAAACTCAGGGAGGTTGGCTTCATGCTTATTTCAAGTAACTATAAATAATTTGTCCGTCCTAAATTCTTCAGGCAAACATTTAAATTTCTGCTGCTGCGGTTTTTCATGTTTAAAATGCGACGTTTGGCTTTTTGTGGATCTTCAAAGTAAAATTCAACAGTTTGCGCCTCGATACAAAGATCCACAGCTGTGAAAGATGCATCACTCGCATACTCGGATAAACTTTCGGGCCTTTCGAGCGTCTGCGTCGTTTCCCTGTGATATAAATGTTCCACTGACGGAGACCAGCTCCTCTCTTTATCTGCTCCATAAGAAATTAACTCTCTTATCTCACCTTCCTGCATGATAAGAACCCCCCCACCACCCAACCCCAACCCCCCCCTGATCCCCATGCCCCCCCCCCTCCCTCGCCCAGCCAGGCAGACCACTGGGGTTGCCATGACGACGGACGGTCGCCACAGCAACCGAGAGAGGCTGACAGGTTGTAGTAATTAGTGAGAGAGAGAGAGCGAGAGACGTGGCGAGAGTTTGGGGTGTGAAGATGCAGAGAAGAGGAGAAACAGTGAGACGGGTTTTGGATCCTTTAACGTTCACAGTCGGGTTTTGCTCATTTTGAAAAACATGTCGGAGCAGATTTTTTATTTTAAAGGTTCCCAGACTTTTTCTTCCAAGAACATTATTGACCATTGTTGTTATTCATCAACTTATTTGATGCATTTTGTTCTTATCTGAAGGATCTTGACTCAAAAGTTAAAGTTGCAGAACTCTGTAATGTGGTTATTGTGAATATTCAAACTGTCCAGTACAACCAAACTGCTCACAGACTAAAATAACTTCAAACGTCTCTTATTATTAAAAGAGGCTCGATCTGGAAGCAGTGATGTGTTTCCTCTCATTAGAGAGTTTGTTTTTTTTGTTTGCATCTTTTTTTTTTCTTGATCTCTTCCTCTGAGCAGATCTGCCAGTTGCCTCAGTCCCGCGGGTCGATGTGTCTGAAGCGTCCGAACACTGAGCCTGAGCAGAAGATGAAGGAACGAGGGAGCGGGGCGGTAAAAAGAAGAGGAGGCCTCCGGCTCTTCAACAGAACTTTGCTGTCAAAGACAAAGTCGTTTCCACTTCAACCTCTGGGGCCAACGACACTCGCTCTGTCTCCCACAGTCACACTCACTGGTGTTTTCCCTCCTGCCTCTAAAAGTAAAAGTGTCTCTCCTCCCTGATGAATCTTCACTGTGACACAGTAAACGTGTTGAAGTTTATATTGGTGGTTTTGTGTCAGTCAGGTCTGAGGCTGCTGCACGCTCCGAAAACCAGAGTTAGCCTCGAGGGAGGGGGGGGGGGATCCTGGTGTCTTTGGTGTCCCTTGACTGGGCTTCTAGCGCCACCATGAGGTTGACATTTGCGGTGTTGAGTGAAACATCTCGACAACTCTTAGATGTTGGTGATGAAAATCTAAACACTGTATTTTTTCATAAAATAAAAATGTTTGTTCTACACGTGGACTAAATGAGACACACACACACACTCACACACACGTTTGTTGAATCGTTGCTTTGCTCCGCTCATCGACTGTTTCCATGACCATGGTATAGATGTTATCTGACACAATGAATAATAGCTCCGCTCTCTCTCTCTCGCTCTCACTCTTTTCTCCTGCTGCTGCAGTTTGAGCTCAGTCAATGACAGTCAAATTAATAATCAATACCAGTAATCAGTACCAGAGGCTGCGCATGACTCAGCCCTCCTGAATGGATGTGGCACATTCTGTCCATCTGGATTTCTGTCTCCAGTCCCTCCATCCGTCTCCATTCAACAACACAGCAGACGCTTATATTCTATTCTAGACAATAATGTTGTGATTGTGTGAAGACCTGATCCGAACTGAAACTCTGACGTCAGTACTGGATCAGTCGTGTAATTGCTGCTGAACGGGACTGAATAAAGACGTGGTGTTGACTCATCAGACATAAAGACAGTGTCCTTCGTGTTTTTCATTTTGTTATTTAGCTTAATTGCAGAAAGCTCTCGTTAAGATCACGATATAAAATAACCCTCGACAAAAACATTTACTCAAGTCCTTCTTTTATAATAATATAATATAAAGTTATATATATAAATATTGGACTTTTGATCTGCAGTTTCCCATCATTGTACAGATTTAAACAGAGACGTGACTTTAGACTTTTCATCAATTCATTTTGAAAAAGGTGGAAGTAGGAAGAAGCAGCAGCTCCTATGAGATCATCTACAACACAATGCTTTTTCTGGTTTCTGTATAATTTAACAGCCTTGAAAGATCCGTTCTTCATCATGAGCAGAGCTGCTGTGACACTCGACCACATTTGAAATAAAATGCTTGTTTAATTCTACATGAGTGGAGAAACAGAGGAGCTGCTTTTATTTCAGTGAGGGATCCAAACATCTCTGACCACAGGGAGGAAATGTTCTTCTATCAACCAGCAGGGGGCAATGTGGCTTCAGTCCAGTCCTGGCTGCTGTGTGGTTGTGTGTGTGTGTGTGTGTGTGTGTGTGTGTGT